TTTGGAAAACGCTGTTCCCTTACTGGGACTCTCTGCAGATGTCCACTGCGAGACAGACGGCCAAACAGAGCGCGTCAATCGAGTGCTCGAGGACACTCTGCGCAGTGTGTGCGCGGCAGCGCCACGTACGTGGTCGTCGCAGCTTCCAGTTGTTGAGTTTGCGCTCAACAACGCGGTGCACGCGTCCACGGGGTTCACGCCGCTCTACTTGAACGGCTTTTGCACACCAGAGTGCCTCTCACTCTTCGAGGAGACACTGACTCCTCTATTCTAAGTGGGGGAGAGGCTCGGAAAGCCCTTTCCTCCCAGGTCTCCGATGTGAGGCCAGTTTCGCTGCGGAAACAGGTGGAATCCTTTATGGATACCAAGCTGAACATTGTCAGCAGGGTCCGCGATGCCATGGCAGCGGCCCAAGATAAACAAAAGGAGTACTCAGACAAGCAAGGAAGAGGAAACTTAAGTATATTTGAGGTTGGTGACTTAGTGTTGCTAGACACGAGGAGCCTACCTCTAGACACTGTTAGCTCTGTCGGCAGCAACAAACTGAAGCACCGCTTCATCGGACCTTTTGCAGTCCTGGCCAGACATGGTGCGTCGTACACCATCGACCTTCCAAAGTCAATGACGACGCACCCGACGTTCTATGTCGGACGTCTTAAGCGGTACTTTGACCCGCAGGGTTGCTGACTCGCAGATCTCCCTTGACCCAGCTCCTCGAAGCGAGGGCCGGTCACAGTCGTCGACGAGGGCGTCGGAGCAGGCACCCAAGTCTCGGTCGGGACGGCAAGGCTGCGGTCAAGACCGTACGCCGGAGGGGCTCCATACGAACGGACCCCGGCGCCATACGCCGAGTACGCTGAGTACGCCGGGTACGCACCATACGCGTACGTCTGGGAGTGTGCCGCAGGCGGCTCCGGACGTGGCAACAAAGCCTCGATCCGTCGGATCATGCGAAAGGCCTCGTCCAGATCGGACGAAGAGGCCCGGCGATCCACCCGCAGGTGCAGGCTCGCGACCTCTCGCTCCATCAGGTCCAGGCGGCCCGCAAGACGAGCGAGCTCGCCCTGATTCCCGGCCTGGGCGGCAGCATTACCGCCAGTCCCAAGGCCAAGTGCAATTATAAGCACGAGGACACGTTGACGGAGGCGGTCAACCTCAGGGTCCTGTGTCGAACCCGCAGTCTGAGCACCCGGACGAGAGTGGCTCTCGGGAGGCGCCGAGTACTCGTACTCGTACGAGGGCACCTCCGCCCCTGCTTGACCGGAATGGAGAAGCCCACTTCCACGTGGAGCGGATCCTCCAGACATGCTCCAAGAGCGCAGTTCTCGTAGCGGGAGAACGATTCCAGCCTGGCAGTGACCG